GACTGTCAGATACTGTATTACCCAGGTGCACCGGGAATAATCTGTAAAGCGATGTTAGCGCTAAGATGATTGTGACCATAATTTTATCATTGCTGAATCTCACTACAATACAGGGGGGGTCGGGTAGCCCAGTGGTTTAAGCGTTCGCTCGTCACGCCGAAGACCCGGGTTCGATTCCCGACATGGGTACAATGTGTGAAGCCCATTTCTGGTGTCCCCGCCGTGATGTTGCTGGAATATTGCTAAAAGCGGCGTAAAACCATACTCACTCACTCACTCACTACAATACAGTGCTTCTGAAGTCAACGGGTATTTACACATACCCACAGGAGATCTTAGGTTGTTGGCCTGTCCTGTCATCAAATACCTTTGTGAAACCTCTGTTAAGAATCTTGCAATTCCATTGGTTATTCCGTACTGAAAAAATACATTTCAATGTAGACCACCAAACCATGTGAGTGACACTGACCTCGAATATTGACTCATCTGCGAGAAAACAAGATGGTGTCTGGTACTAACATTGCACGGTTCACAGCTAGGTTACTGCAATGAAACAGAGGAAGGTTTAGAGACTTCATAACATAACAAATGATTACTCTTGATGTTGTAAATATGCAAAAAGTATGTACCCAAGGACCCGACCCAGAGGTGGTCTGACCGGACCGAGGTTGCAACTATTTGTAGAATAGTATGCTCCTGAAGTCAGAAAGTATGTACAGTCAGAGAGCACAGGCAAATACTTTCATCCAGTGGGTGGTCACTATTGTGGTCAGGTGGAATACATTTATTTAAGAAATGAACGACTTGTGGTCAGCCCGAGTGGGTTTTTCTCCATGCAGTGTTTTATTGTATGATAAGCAATGCCCATGAGTTATTTATTTCTTCTATGAGATATCAACATTTTGTACAGCCTCTTTAAGGATGTTTATTATATTTACAAGCTTTAAAAATATTTACCCAAATTTTAATAATGACTCCCTGAATAAAATCTGACTTCAGAAATGTCAGAGAGGTCCATTTTTCGACCAGGTGGGTTAAGTTTGGTATTCTCCTCATATTCTCACAATCCTCACGTCAATTGTCTGTACCTTTTCTCCTAATACCGATCATTTGGCCACAGCGTTTTCCCATAGATGTAGCCCAGCTAAATGAATGGGGAACAACTTACTAGACACTTACCTCTAAAAAATAACATTGTCCAATATATGACGTCATCAAGTTGCGAGCGCATATTTGATTCTCCAGAAATGATGTCATGATAGAACAATGTTTTATCGTAAGATAAACGATATTTTGTTCTTCATTGTTCTGTGTGACTTATGGTGTAGCTATCTAATATATTCTGATTAACACTGATTGATCAGATTGTTCCATACGAAAACATATCCAGCAATAGCAATCAGCTGTACCAAAGTGCTACCCTTATGGTTATTAATTTATTTCACATACTGTATTCGACGTAATAAGCGCCCAGGGCGCTCTCAAAATTAGAAATAGGGGGCTCTGATTAGAATATTATTTTGGTGAAAAAAAACAGAGTTGAAAGATAAATTTCATGGTTATGCTGACAGCCTGAAATGTTTATGTACGACAGATATATTTTTCCAGAATTTTATTGCCCATATTTAAGGGTGCATATAGCACATGAGTGCGTATTATACGCGAATAAATTAGTCTTGTGTACATTGATCAATCGGAAGGGGTGCTAATTGGGATTGTTCACCAGCCAATATATCAGCAAATGTCACCGTGGGTGCTTATTAGAGCGGGGCGCTTATTACGTCGAATACGGTATATATAGTAAAGCTGCAACTAAAACAACATGATATTGGAATAAATTATTCCTCATAAAAATATTGTTACAGATACAATTCTTCACATCATTGTATAAAAATTCTTTAAAGTAATATGACTGGGTACTTTTTTACCGAATCAACGGTAGATTCCGAGAAACGTGTGCAAGCTGATTGCTGCTTTTGGTTAGTTTACGAGACAATACACACAGTAATCAAAAGCTCTGCATGTAAAACAATGCCTAGCAGAACAGGAAATACAATTTAATCAGTAAATCATCATGTGTAGTGATTTCAATTTGATTTCAAATTTCAAATTTGTATTGACCAAGTTTAATTGTTATGATATGTTCATTTCCCTGAATTTACTGAAGAGATACAATGTAATTTTTTTCTGCGGAAGACAAACCCATTTTTTTGCAAATGTAGGGATTGTGTATGCCCTGGTGACGTGCTTCATTCCAATTCACTTTATAGACGGGGTATATAAATTAGCAGCGATTTGGAAGTCTTGTACAGGGGGGTCAACTTATATGTGGGGTCGCTTTATAAACGGGAATATACAGTACTGTATACATATTATAGAGTGTGAAACTCTCGTACTTCTTGAAACTTGACTGCATGAAGCATACAGTATATATGAAACTGTGCAATCTGCTTCAAATGTGAATGGTGGAGTTTGTGCGATCTGCCATGTGTAGTTCATGGAACTCGAATATTTGCCTGTAGTCTTAAGATAGATGGAGAATTTGTGCCAGTACTTAATTGGGATATAAACATACTGTCGCCTTGCAATATGTTTATATCTTGATAAAGTACTGGCACCCATCATCTATCTATTACATATCCACAGTAGATCTTACATTCCTGACCCTTTATTTTCTCCCGAAGTTGTGAAGTATCTACGTTTTCCAAAAGGGAACCGCAATATTGGTATTTTAATTACACACAACATTAGTGTAAAAAACACCAAATAGGCCCACTTAATAGGTTATCTGAGTTCTGTAACCTGTAAAAACCTTCTCATTAAGTCTCATTTTGCCATGATGTATGCTCATCAATGTCAGTTTTTATGATTGTTCATTATGAGCAAAGCCTGGGGAAAAAAACGTTCTGTTCTATTCTGAAAATGATGAAGCGCAGCCTCGTCTTGGACGTTTTTCATGATGATATGTATCATAGTTTAATACTCAAAGGTCACTCGGTGAACCCAGTACATACTGTTTTTAAATACAAGTGTATTTCAAGACACGAGTGAGACGCCACTGGCTACTTGCATTTGCTTTCATATTTTGTTCTAGTATGGGCGGAAAGATTTAGTAGGCTAAGTTTTAAGCTAGTGGCTAAATTGGCAGACTTCAGCAATTTTCTTATGGTTTCTGCCCAGATAACTTTATTACCATGTGTACATATAGTCGGTCAAACACCAAATGACCTCAAGACATATGAAAATTAAACACCAAATGAAAGACCTCAAGACATATGGACATTAAACACCAAATGAAAGACCTTAAGCCATATGGACATTAAACACCAAATGAAAGACCTCAAGACATATGGACATTAAACACTACATGTAAAGACTATATGCCATATGTACATTAAACACTACATGTAAAGACTAAATGCCATATGAACATTAAACACTAAATGTAAAGACTATATGCCATATGAACATTAAACACTAAATGTAAAGACTATATGCCATATGAACATTGAGCTCCAAATGTAAAGACTATATGCCATATGAACATTAAACACAATATGTAAAGACTATATGCCATATGAACATTAAACACTAAATGTAAAGACTATATGCCTTATGAACATTGAGCTCCAAATGTAAAGACTATATGCCATATGAACATTTAGCTCCAAATGTAAAGACTATATGCCATATGAACATTAAACACTACATGTAAAGACTATATGCCATATGTACATTAAACACTAAATGTAAAGACTATATGCCTTATGAACATTGAGCACCAAATGTAAAGACTATAAGCCATATGAACATTAAACACTACATGTAAAGACTATATGCCTTATGAACATTGAGCTCCAAATGTAAAGACTATATGCCATATGAACATTAAACACAATATGAAAAGACTGTATGCCATATGAACATTAAACACTAAATGTAAAGACTATATGCCATATGAACATTAAACACTACATGTAAAGACTATATGCCATATGTACATTAAACACTACATGTAAAGACTATATACCATATGAACATTAAACACTACATGTAAAGACCTCATGCCATATGAAACACCACATGTAAAGACTTTATGCCATATGAACATTAAACACCACATGTAAAGACTATATGCCATATAAACCTTAAACACCACATGTAAGGACTATATGCCATATGAACATTAAACACCACATGTAAGGACTATATGCCATATGAACATTAAACACCACATGTAAAGACTATATGCCATATGAACATTAAACACCACATGTAAAGACTATATGCCATATGAACATTAAACACCACATGTAAAGACTATATGCCATATGAACATTTAACACATGTAAAGACCTCATGCCATTATACATATATATTCAATCAAACACCAACTGTAGAGTTATGAGCAAGCATTTGACCCAAGCTGATTTCCTCCAGAGGGTTTCCTCACAGGCTCCATCATAGCAAGATTTCTCCAGAAGTTTGTAAATTCAACCTGTTTGCTCATATTTGCAATATATTTACCAAGCCATAAGTTCAAAACAAGTGATAGAAAGGAAAACTAGTTGTCTGATGAACATGTCTTGTAACTTTCGCAGCAATATCTTTCACACAATTTCTTATGGCTGCCTTGTCCTTTGTCTACTTTAAGGTGAAAGGATGGCATCTGTAAAAGATGATTGTGATTCCTCATTACTATTGGCTTTTGGCTATTCAAAGCATCCAGTGTGGGTGCTCTACCACTTTACAGGAGCACCTCTCACTCATGCACAGTCATTACAGAATTATCTCCCTTGATACCAAGGAGTCCATGATCATCCAAATATTGCAAACTGCTGGTTGGTCTAGTGAAACTTACCAGCAAATTTGCAGAAATAGATTCTCACCATTCATACTGTTGTCATATATTGATGACCCATCCCTTCATTTCCTGATAATGTATATCATCTTTTTTCCGTCCTTATCAAATTTACAGATTTCACTGTGGTTTGTTTCAGGAGTCCTTCCAACCCTGACCAGAATCTAATCAAAAGAATTGTCGCCTTAGAAGGGGATTTGGTGAGGTGAGTGCCATTTAGCATTCTCGTTCAAGAGCCAGCATGCCATTGTAGGTCTCATCTATGAGGCCAAATCAACCTTATTGCAGACTTTTTGTAAAAAGAATTACAGAAGCAAGCAGGGACCAGCTTAGTTTCTGACATTGGTATTCCTGCACCCATAGCTGAAATTTAGGCTTTTGATATTTCTCATTGAAGGTCAGCTCTGTTTATTTTCCATATTTGATGTAATAAGTGTCAAGGGCACTCTTAAAATTAGAAATAGGGGGTGCTTATTATACATAATTTTGGTGAAAAAAACCCAGAATTTGAAAGTGCATAAATTTTGTGATTTGTCCAATGTAGAAAACGATCGATTTTGGCAATGTTGACGGAATGCCCGTTAATAATTTCAAAATAAGTTGCTTATTTGCTCATCGAATACGCATAGTTGCTTCACAATATTTTGACGATGCACAAGTTTTATTTTTGTAGCGTATCTGTAATGTTGGTTGCTTATTTGATACGCTTGGATCTTATTTTACTGCGTATTTCTGCATTTCTGATGCGTATTTTACGCAGATACGCAGCTTATCTGGAGCTCTGATACTACTAATATTGGGACTTGTGTCATGTCATGTCACTTCACTTCTAGGCTATGTCAGATGATAACTATTGTGTCATCTGACAGTAGCCTGATTTGTTGCTTCACTGGTGGGCTATGTCAGATAACCACTATTGTGTCATGTGACAATAGCCTGATTTGTTCCTTCACTGGTGGGCTATGTCAGATAATAACTATTGTGTCATCTGACAGTAGCCTGATTTGTTGCTTCACTGGTGGGCTATGTCAGATAATAACTATTGTGTCATCTGACAGTAGCCTGATTTGTTGCTTCACTGGTGGGCTATGTCAGATAATAACTATTGTGTCATGTGACAGTAGCCTGATTTGTTCCTTCACTGGTGGGCTATGTCAGATAATAACTATTGTGTCATGTGACAGTAGCCTGATTTGTTCCTTCACTGGTGGGCTATGTCAGATAATAACTATTGTGTCATGTGACAGTAGCCTGATTTGTTGCTTCACTGGTGGGCTATGTCAGATAATAACTATTGTGTCATGTGACAGTAGCCTGATTTGTTCCTTCACTGGTGGGCTATGTCAGATAATAACTATTGTGTCATGTGACAGTAGCCTGATTTGTTGCTTCACTGGTGGGCTATGTCAGATAACAACTATTGTGTCATGTGACAGTAGCCTGATTTGTTGCTTCACTGGTGGGCTATGTCAGATAACAACTATTGTGTCATGTGACAGTAGCCTGATTTGTTCCTTCACTGATGGGCTATGTCAGATAACAACTATTGTGTCATGTGACAGTAGCCTGATTTGTTCCTTCACTGGTAGGCTATGTCAGATAATAACTATTGTGTCATGTGACAGTAGCCTGATTTGTTCCTTCACTGGTGGGATATGTCAGATAATAACTATTGTGTCATGTGACAGTAGCCTGATTTGTTCCTTCACTGGTGGGATATGTCAGATAATAACTATTGTGTCATGTGACAGTAGCCTGATTTGTTCCTTCACTGGTGGGCTTTGTCAGATAACAACCATTGTGTCATGTGACAGTAGCCTGATTTGTTCCTTCACTGGTAGGCTATGTCAGATAATAACTATTGTGTCATGTGACAGTAGCCTGATTTGTTCCTTCACTGGTGGGCTTTGTCAGAGAACAACCATTGTGTCATGTGACAGTAGCCTGATTTGTTCCTTCACTGGTAGGCTATGTCAGATAATAACTATTGTGTCATGTGACAGTAGCCTGATTTGTTCCTTCACTGGTGGGCTTTGTCAGATAACAACCATTGTGTCATGTGACAGTAGCCTGATTTGTTCCTTCACTGGTAGGCTATGTCAGATAATAACTATTGTGTCATCTGACAGTAGCCTGATTTGTTCCTTCACTGGTGGGCTTTGTCAGAGAACAACCATTGTGTCATGTGAGAGTAGCCTGATTTGTTGCTTCACTGGTGGGCTATGTCAGATAACAACTATTGTGTCATGTGACAGTAGCCTGATTTGTTCCTTCACTGATGGGCTATGTCAGATAATAACTATTGTGTCATGTGACAGTAGCCTGATTTGTTGCTTCACTGGTGGACTATGTCAGATAACAACTATTGTGTCATGTGACAGTAGCCTGATTTGTTGCTTCACTGGTGGGCTATGTCAGATAATAACTATTGTGTCATGTGACAGTAGCCTGATTTGTTCCTTCACTGATGGGCTATGTCAGATAATAACTATTGTGTCATGTGACAGTAGCCTCATTTGTTGCTTCACTGGTGGACTATGTCAGATAACAACTATTGTGTCATGTGACAGTAGCCTGATTTGTTGCTTCACTGGTGGGCTATGTCAGATAATAACTATTGTGTCATCTGACAGTAGCCTGATTTGTTGCTTCATTGGTGGGCTATGTCAGATAATAACTATTGTGTCATGTGACAGTAGCCTGATTTGTTGCTTCACTGGTGGGCTATGTCAGATAACAACTATTGTGTCATGTGACAGTAGCCTGATTTGTTGCTTCACTGGTGGGCTATGTCAGATAACAACTATTGTGTCATGTGACAGTAGCCTGATTTGTTGCTTCACTGGTGGGCTATGTCAGATAATAACTATTGTGTCATGTGACAGTAGCCTGATTTGTTCCTTCACTGGTGGGCTATGTCAGATAACAACTATTGTGTCATGTGACAGTAGCCTGATTTGTTCCTTCACTGGTGGGCTATGTCAGATAACAACTATTGTGTCATGTGACAGTAGCCTGATTTGTTCCTTCACTGGTGGGCTATGTCAGATAATAACTATTGTGTCATGTGACAGTAGCCTGATTTGTTGCTTCACTGGTGGGCTATGTCAGATAATAACTATTGTGTCATGTGACAGTAGCCTGATTTATTCCTTCACTGGTGGGCTACGTCAGATAACAACTATTGTGTCATGTGACAGTAGCCTGATTTATTCCTTCACTGGTGGGCTACGTCAGATAATAACTATTGTGTCATGTGACAGTAGCCTGATTTGTTCCTTCACTGGTGGGCTACGTCAGAGAACAATTACTTGTGCCTGATCAGCTGATGTTGTGTTGCAGGACTCTTGCATACAAGGAGGCAGTCGTCCACGTCCCTTCAGGCCACTGCTGGGTGGAGGGAGACCATCACAAGAACAGCATGGACAGCAACTTCTTCGGTCCGGTCAGTGTCCACATTATACCGTTCAACACATGATAGAGATATGTCGCGTCCATGTCCAGGTTGATGATACAGATGATAGCTACACATTAGATACAAGGGCTGTATCATGATACAAAACGTTGTGGCCATGGATGTGTGTAGGCTTGTGTTGTAAGATATAGGTGTGTCACTATGGGGATGTATTTATGTCTCAACACCACATCGTCAGTAGGCTGTATCATGATACAAAACGTTGTGGCCATGGATGTGTTGGGCTTGTGTTGGGGTATCTAGAGGTGTCCGGTCAGAGTAGGGATTCATTTACGTCTCAATACTTTTGTCAGTCATAACATAAGGTAATCCAATGGTTGAGCAGACAGAAAAGGACATGTACTAAACCATCCGAAGCAGAAGCAGGCAAAGGGGGAGTCCCTCCGATCATCATTATCGTTGAAATTGTGCAGCACTCCAAGCAGTGGGAACCCGTTTTAACATCCAGGAAAAGGGGATTCCCCATAACTCGTTTATGGGGGGGAATAGGTCTTCAGCAACCCATGCTTGCCGTGAAAGGCAACTATCCTTGTTGTAAAAGGCAACTAACGGGACTGGATGGTCAGACTTGATAACTTAGTTGATGCATGTCATCAATCCCAATTGCGTGGATTGATGCTCATGATGTCAATTATTTACAGACCACCGTCATATAGTTGTAATATTGCTGAGTGTGGCGTAAAACAACAAACACACACACACTGTTTATCATTAAGTACATTGATTAGATTAGATAACTGAGATCTTGTCTCTGTTTCCATTAAGTCTGTCATTTATTTATCATTAAATACATTGAATATTTAACTGAGAACATGTCTTAATTATATCTGGATTTCTGTTGACTGGTTAGCAGGAGATGCATTGATCAGATGAGTGACCCCATGCTGTTGTTTGCAGGTGTCCCTGGGCCTCATCAGTGCCAAGGCCTCCCACATAGTGTGGCCTCCGTCTCGGTGGCAGAGGCTGAGGGTCCAGGCCTCCGAGGATCACCGCGTCAATTCTCTTGATACCTTTCTGGAATGCTGATGATGTCCCGAGTACTAGTTATATATCAATACTTTCCATGATTGTCAGTTGAAATGTGAAGGATGGAAAAGTCATCTTTATCCAGTATGTGTTCATTAGTTGATATTAAGAATCAGTACAGAAGTGTCAGTGTGTTAGTCTTGTGTGAGTGAGAATAGATCGTATACTTTGTGATAAAATATTGTACATCTTCCAGATCAGGAGTGAGTGGTATATATATGATACAGTCAATGTGTAAAATCAGTCAATTTGCAAAATGTCAATTTTCACTCAGACAATTTACAAAATGCCTCATTTTTAATAACGAATTCCATACATTTTTATTTTGAATTTCATCTCCCAGTGACTGAAAATGGTAGGATTAAAAGGAAATGAAAGTCAATGTATATGTTATATATTTAAGCCCTTTTTATCTTAATAGTTTTTTGTAAAACGACTGAAATACTTTGTCATTTTTTAAATGGCCTAAGGGGATCACATTTTTCACATCAACTGATTGTACACAATAATTGTAACGTATATATATGACATTATTGTCTGACATTTCACCTTCAACCACAGCTGAATATGTCCTTGATAATCTATGTTACAGAACCGTAGATTTAAACTGCTGTCAGCATTATATGTTCCACACACAACCCTAGGGAACCCCTCAGTACTGTATGTTCCAAACACAACCCTGGGGAAGCCCTCAGTACTGTATGTTCCACACACAACCCTGGGGAACTGCTGGCTTTGAAAGTCAGCCCTGTACGTTCCACACACAACCCTGGGGAACCCCTCAGTACTGTATGTTCCACACACAACCCTGGGGAAGCCCTCAGTACTGTATGTTCCACACACAACCCCTAGGGAAGCCCTCAGTACTGTATGTTCCACACACAACCCCTAAGGAAGCCCTCAGTACACTGTATGTTCCACACACAATCCTGGGGAAACCCTCAGTACTGTATGTTCCACACACAACCCTGGGGAAACCCTCAGTACTGTATGTTCCACACACAACCCCTAGAGAAGCCCTCAGTACTGTATGTTCCACACACAACCCTGGGGAAGCCCTCAGTACTGTATGTTCCACACACAACCCCTAGAGAAGCCCTCAGTACTGTATGTTCCACACACAATCCTGGGGAAACCCTCAGTACTGTATGTTCCACACACAACCCCTAGAGAAGCCCTCAGTACTGTATGTTCCACACACAACCCTGGGGAAGCCCTCAGTACTGTATGTTCCACACACAACCCCTAGAGAAGCCCTCAGTACTGTATGTTCCACACACAATCCTGGGGAAACCCTCAGTACTGTATGTTCCACACACAACCCCTAGAGAAGCCCTCAGTACTGTATGTTCCACACACAACCCTGGGGAACCCCTCAGTACTGTATGTTCCACACACAACCCTGGGGAAGCCCTCAGTACTGTATGTTCCACACACAACCCCTAGGGAAGCCCTCAGTACTGTATGTTCCACACACAACCCCTAAGGAATCCCTCAGTACACTGTATGTTCCACACACAACCCCTAGGGAAGCCCTCAGTACTGTATGTTCCACACACAACCCTGGGGAACCCCTCAGTACTGTATGTTCCACACACAACCCTGGGGAACCCCTCAGTACTGTATGTTCCACACACAACCCTGGGGAAGCCCTCAGTACTGTGTGTTCCACACACAACCCTGGGGAAGCCCTCAGTACTGTATGTTCCACACACAACCCTGGGGAAGCCCTCAGTACTGTATGTTCCACACACAACCCTGGGGAAGCCCTCAGTACTGTATGTTCCACACACAACCCTGGGGAAGCCCTCAGTACTGTATGTTCCACACACAACCCTGGGGAAGCCCTCAGTACTGTATGTTCCACACACAACCCTGGGGAACTGCTGGCTTTGAAAGTCAGCCCTGTATGTTCCACACACAATCCTGGGGAACTGCTGTTCTTGAAAGTCAGTACCGGAACTTTAAATGCAATCAAACAAACTGTCATTGCCAAAATTTGTCACTGTAACATCATGGTCAGTACATAGTAAAGTCAGATTATCCACTCTTGGGATTGTTTCTAGTCTTGTCATGAACGATGCACACAGCAAGGCGAGGTGCCGCACTTGCACAACTCAGGACTGTTGTTTAACTCCATTTCTTAAGCAAATGTATTACCAATATTATGCATGTAGGCAAGAATCAGACTTCAGATCATTTATCAAAGATACAGCAGTACTGCATTTCCTATTTATCAAAGTAAATCAACTTTAATTTTGTGACAGGTCACCTTTTGATTAGCTCTGTAATATTCTTTAACTATAGCATCACTGCATTGTAGCCTCTTTACATGGCATCAATATTCCAGCTGTATGAATCTGGACCAAACAATCCAGTGATTGACATCACGAGCATCGATCCACACAATTGAGATGCGATGACACTCAATCAACCAAGTCAGTGAGCCTGACCACCCAATCCTTTTAGTCGCCTCTTACCATAAGCATCTATGCTGCTGGAGACCTATATTCTTATTCTCATGTAGCTGGAATATTGCTGAGTTCGATGTTCGACAAAACCTAAGATCAACCCATCTTTGAATAAGCCAAGTACTCTTGGCCCAGTCGTCAAATGTCCTTGAATTCCCTTACAGTTCTATCCTTTCGGTGACATGAAGCTTACCACCAATTTTATATTTTATTACATCTGTTAATCCTGAGGAAATTTACTGTGAATATTGTAAATAAAACATTGTTGATGATTATTGTGATATTGTATTTCTTGTTGAAAAACCAATGATGGTCCAACTATAAGATCTGTATGATAGAGCCTTCAACAGAAGCCGTTGGACATTGGTGTCATGACAGGGATACTAAGAAAGTGATGTACTCATGTAGGATGTAGGACAAGCTAATGTTGAAGCTGATGAAATACCTCAAATCCTAGGACTGCCTCCGTGATCAAGTTGATGGAGCATCTGTCCAGAAACACAAAGTCAAACGAGCTTATGGCAATCGTCGATCTAGTTATCCATGCATTGTTAACTTTTACATTTCTGACATCACTGAAACTATAAGATGCATGGGGTCTCTTAAGTTTGCACATAGAATTCTGATCAGATTTTTATGAAGCCACCGTTATAAAACTGTGACTTTTGCCCAAGACTCACCCATTTTTGCATGTATCACTATGAACTTTGAAACAAGTATTAGATATGCAGAATGACGTAAATGAAACGTTTTTGGCATAATTTGATTTTTGATCAAGTTATCTATGACCTTCACACATCGCCGTTTTTCAACTGTAACAGCATTTTCAACGTTGCCTCTGAAACTACTAAGACTAAGAAGCTGAACATTGCATGAATGATCCCAACTGTGGTCTTTCTTAACTGTGTTCACGGAATTGTGACCTTATTTAAAACATGGCCGCCACGGTAACCATACTTCAAATACAATAAGGGCCATCTCTCAAAAGATATATTTAAGTTGGTTGTACGTGTATAGTTAGAAGGAAGACATTACATTGTAATGTTGATTTTTGTGTTAGTATGAATTATTACTTTGATTCCACCTTTACACTTTAGCAGTGTAATAGTTGGTGCCACCAAAGTTTCATCGAATTATGTGCATAGATTGGGGAGCAATGGCAACATGTAAAGGACCTACATACAGCCCTTCAAGGAGGGGGCTCTGTCTTGTTGATACTAACTTCGACACTTTGAAGTGGATAGACCTTTGCACTTTTCTGTGTTATTTTGATCTTTTCCTCCGTAACTGCTGGACTGATAAAGCTGAACTTTGGCATGCATGTTCCTTCAAATGAAGACATCTTGTTTTGTTCAAATCATTACAATTTTATATCAAGTTTTTGTGTTTGAATGATAACGGCTACAAGAAGATTCAATTTTTTTCGAGACATCATGATTTGCACTTGTAAATGATGCTCCAAAAGGTTTTTTTTCACTTTTTCCTGGCAAATTTTGATACAACTCACACAGATATTTTTGCCAAAATAAGGCTGAAGTGTCATAAAATTATTTCTTCCTAATTCAAGTGATCTGGAGAGGCCACTTTTCTCTTTCTGTCACTTTCAACACTGTCAGTGGGGAACACTTGGTTTCACAGTTCAACACGTTTAGAACCAATTTGTTGTATGTAATACTGGTTTGAAAACCTGTACTGAAGGTATTCAACAGCAATGAACCACAAGTGGGGTACAAGTAGCCAAACTCCAATTTCCAAATTGCACCAGGCCGGGGATACATGTCTTCTCCTGATGACTCTTGTTCATGATTTGGAATGCACAAAACACGAAACTATCAATTGCCTCCAAAGTTAGAGATTTGCTTCTTCTGAGGACATTAATTGATGTATGAAAACTTGTGTCTGGCTTGTTGATGGACTAGGATGGATCCATGGCTTCAGCAGAATGTGCAAATATTGCAACCGTCTCCTGGGTGTTGTTAACACAAGTTATTACAATTCTGCAGTTTTGGCGTGAATAGATTATTGTATGCATTGTACTTATGCAAATCATATTGGTCTTTTGTATGACTAAACCACAAATGTTGTCATAAGTAGTGTAACATTTTTAACTCATAACAGTGAGTGAGTGAGTATGGTTTTACGCCGCTTTTAGCTATATTCCAGCAATATCACGGCGGGGGACACCAGAAATGGGCTTCACACATTGTACCCATGTCGGGAATCAAACCCGGGTCTTCGTCGTGACAAGCGAACACTTTAACAACTAGGCTACCCAACCGCCCCGACATTTCAAAGAAACACTTCAATGAATATGCTACACTTGTTACAACATTTTCTATTTAGCCATGACTAATTATGGTCGTGATCATTGCATTATTTCTGTATGTCTGATCCATATTAATTTTAAACTTCATAAATCAAGAAATTTAAAAAAGAGGCCTAAATTGGTTGTATTCTCCCCAGGGAGGTGACAATGAAAATTGAGTACACACTAAACATTGATTTGGGGAAATAATAAAGTAGTGCCATTAGAATTCATTGACTGGAATCATCATCATCATCATCATCATTATTCATTCTGGAAAGTGACCACTCAGATGATGATGTAGGGAATCAAACCCGGGTCTTCGTCGTGACAAGCGAACACTTTAACCACTAGGCTACCCAACCGCCCCTTAACTCATAACAATATTCTTAGAACAATATCTCATTAAAATCCGATCTTTTACTCCAATACGTCGCCCCCGAGTGAAGATCTGACGACATATCCACTGGAGGTCACTGCAGGTGCACAAAAATTTTAGCCAATCAGCAATGAGGATTCTACATTCTCTGTAGTGAAGCATGCAGACAAGAATATCCAGTCAAAAGTCACTCAGGGTTTACCTGCTGAGGTCTTCTATGAAGATCTCATCCGATTTTCTAAGAGATAAGTATCATATCGGAGTAAAAGATTTGATTTTCTTAAGATTACTTAGAACACTAATGAAAGAAGCATATTACCACATTTGTAGAGACCTCAATGAAGGGGACAGCTGATCATCTTCAGTGGCCGGAGTAGTAAACAAACAAATCAACATGTATTGTCAATGTATTTAATCCTTCACAGTAATCAAAAATCTGTATTATCAGTAGATTGTCTGTACATGTATAATGATTTATTCTACCACCTTCGTTTTCAAACATAATATCATATTCTCATTCAAACATAAAGCTATATGCTAATACTGTGTACTTTGACCTATCTGGCTCTTAACTGAATTATGCTAACTGCTAAAGAAAGACAGAATCAGTCAATTTGCTTTTGAGTATTGCTTCTTTGTTAGGATACTATTTATGGATGAACAACTTCTTTATTACAAGAACATTTTATAAAGTTTGAACAATTTTCTCAATTCTTAATTTCAATGACTTAAAGTACTGTAATCACCAGATGAAGCACCCTTTTCCAATAAGCCTGCACCCTATCAAGACTGAAAATGTACATGTCAGTCCGAATGTCTTGTTTATATTACAGGTTTCCTTTTACAGAAAACAGCAGTGCAGAAGGAGAAGATTATTACCCAGTTAATTCGTGTATGGTTTTAATAGGTAATCCCCTCCATGTTCTACGGCAAGTATGGTAAGCCCTCTTATGGGCGAACACTTACCAAAATATTCTGTAACAAATTTTAAGGTAGGATAGGATGATTTTACCCTTTGAGCCAGATGAGCTAACAATTTGTTTGTTTGTTGTTCAATGCCGCACTCAGGATTATTCCAGCATGAACATCAATCCACACAATTGGGAAACTATGACATGCATCAACAAAGTCAGCGAGTCTGACCACCCGATCCCGTTAGTCGCCTCTTACGACAAGCATAGTTGCCTTTTATGGCAAGCATGGGTTGCCGAAGACCTATTCTAACCCAGACCTTCACAGGTCTGAAGAGCCAACCACACCATTGAAGAGTTGTTTCACAAATAAGCAGCCTCTTTTTTTCTCCTGATCAAATGCTTGAGGCTGGAGAATTAGAAATACATTTTAAATATCCTTAAGTGCCTGTCTTTGTTGACTACACATCCAGGTGAGCTACAGTGCCGTGGCACTATTTTTTCAAATATAGTGAGTGAGTGAGTATGGTTTTACGCCACTTTTAGCAATATTCCAGCAATATCACGGCGGGGGACACTGGAAATGGGCTTCACACATTGTACCCATGTCGGGAATTGAACCCGGGTCTTCGGCGTGACGAGCGAACGCTTCAACCACTAGGCTACCCGACCGCCCCCTTTTCAAATATAAACTCAGTGGAAATTCAGCCCTAAACACAACTTACAGGTATTTTGACATGCAAGAATTCATGGATAAGAGATGCTAGAGTATATGGGCTGGTATTTTGAATATTTTTAAGCAGCATTTAGAAGTAAAAGTATCAACAAAGACAGGGTTGACATCGATTTCCATTTCACTGAAGAAGACCACCATACTCAAAAGTCACATTAAAAGACATAAACAAGTTCAAATCCTGTCTTCATATTGGGAATTTTGATATCAGTTAAAGCCTCAGAACCGTCCTTCCAACCACTCACTTTAGCTAGAAAGTAACAATTCAATAAAAACACAAGAAAACTTCCCATTTCTGTAAATAATGATTAACAACTGTAGGGTTAGCAGAGAGAACTGGTGACCCAACTAGAGTGAGTGAGTGAGTTGGGTTTAACGCCGCTTTTAACATTATTCCATTTATATCAAGGCGTGTCAGCTTAATGTGGGAGGAAAGCCCGAAGTGATGCAGGTCTCAGACTGACCCAACTAGAAACTTCACTATGTATTATACATTTACTTACTCAATAAACCAAGATATGAATAGAATGAGAATTTACATCTAAAATGATAAACAAATTTGTGTTTATCACGAACAGACTTTTCGACAAAAGATAATAAAAAAAGCACAAAAGTGAAACATGGTTTGTTAAGTAAACAAAATACATTCAATGAACATTATAGAATCTAAAAACAATTTTTAAAGTATATGGAAGCAATGATCTTCAACACCAAAGGGATTAAAACATACTTAAATCCTCCCCACCCAAACTGAAGAATCTTAAGAAGCAGGATAAAGTCAATACTGTTATCATACATGTAATATTTTTGATCTGTATGCAGTGTGCTGCAACCTTTAGAATATAATGCCACTGACACTGTCATGATCACATATTAAATATTCATGACAGTGTCGTTAAAATCTGATCTTCACATGTGAAAGGAAGAGAGTTTATGGATGTCGAGTTATTTATTATGAGGAACACAACGTTTCAAAGTACATACTTACTTCTTCATCAGGTGAATAAATGCTATAAGGCAGAGAACATATATATGTGAGGTGAGGTGAAATTGGGTTTAACGTCGCGTCCAAGATTATTGCACTTATATAGCGACGTGCATGTGTGTGTGGCTGCTTGTACTAGTCCGGACTGATGCCGATTTATAGTGCTAGCTCACTGAGATACCATGCCGCAGTTTAACATGAATACCCCACTCAGACACAGTATACTGACTCCGAGCCGACCAGTCCTTGTTTTAGCCCCTTAATGCCGAGCGCCAGACAGGGTAACAACAAGTACAATCTTTTAACGTCTTTTTGTATGACGCGGCCCGGGATCGAACCCTGGACCTTCCGCTCTCCGGGCGGACGCTCTACCACAAGACCACGGAGGCGGTCACATATATATGTACCTGTAAGAATAAAAGAAATAAAATAGAAAAGCAGCGGACATCCATAAATTCCACCTCCCCACTGTTCTAAATGACCAGTCCCTTAAGTGAACAGCCAGAAAACCAAACAATGTATGATCGTCTTGGGAACTGGATTTGTTCCATGGAGGTAATATGTAAGTAAATATATGTTAAATTTCATATGCACATACGTACTAACTACCGGTACTACTAATAAACTTTCATTTTTGTCACATTGTTCCTACCAAGTGACTTAGACCTTCAATGTCATCCAATCAAACAATTTAGAAATATTGCCTCCTACCAATGAAAACTGTCATACTGCAACAAAAAACTGACATATGTCAACAATACACGAGGACAAAGTAGACACAATTTATGGACAACAACTTCTTTAATAAATGTAAAGGCGACGTTCTGTTATAGGTCCTTATACCGTTGTCAAGGAAGACTGACATCTTGGAAGTCTTGCTTGACAACAGTATAAGGACATATACCAAAACGTCACCTTCACAGTTATTAAAGAAGTTGTTATCCATAAATTGTGTCGACTTTGTCATTCGCCAACTTCTAAGTAATGCCTATCAAACAATTTAATACACGAGGAATCGGTAACATAATGGGTTGGTTGGTTTGATGTTTTACGCCGCACTCAGCAATATTCCAGCTATATGATGGTGGTCTGTAAATAATCGAGTCGGGACCAGACAATCCAGTGATTGACATTTTGAGCATCGATCCACACAATTGGGATCGATGACATGCATCAACCAAGTCAGCGAACCTGACCAAAACAATAAGAACGTAAATCATAAATCTGAGAGCAGAACAAGAAGGAAGTTGACAGTCATGTGATGAGGATCAACAAACAACAGGTACATTTACATGTTACAGCGGAATATTCTATGTTGGCGCTGTAAGGTGTGAAGGTTGATCCTCATGCCAACCTCCTTCTCGTTCTGCGCATGCCTAGTTTGGAAGGCTGCAGTCTGTGTGTTTTAGTGATGTGTTTTCCATGTTTTCGGCAGCATGCTCTCAGTTTTATGATGCTGTTGCTTAGTTTTTGGTTTTGCTCAATGTTTTCTGTTGCCGATTCTTTGTGTATTGTAGACATATGACAGTTTCTGTTTCAGTCTGTCAGTTTTCGAGGTAGGCCTGTACAAGAGGTATATAAGGCATGAAGGCTCTAACTTCTGTCACTTACCTGTTCTCCATAAACGTTGTGGAGAAACAAGCGTATGACCTGGCACTGAGAATAGCAATTGCGAAAATTTGAGCATAACCAGGAACCACTTCTTCTCCATGATTAATAATGCCGTTGACAGCATCCACAATAATGGAAAATCGCCACTTGTGCCCATCTTGCAGACCTTTTTTTGATTTAACCAAAGCATACATAGCAAACAACTGTCAACTTGTTGAACTACTTGCCCAAAGGATTTGTATTTTTACATGAATAATTTCTTACAAATTACCTTGTTGCTCTATTGCTGACAATGCTGATGTGATGTTAAACGTAAAATCTGGAACAGGTTATGTTTACAATCTACTGACACATTTTCTATAAAAAAAAACCCGTCAAAAACTAAAAAGAGAGATTATTAAAGTGGATTTCTTTGATAAAAGAACTGGTTATACACATACTATAACTGTCATTGATTGCTACGGTGACGAGTCCTGCAGGTTACGGAGGGGGTGAGTGGAGAAGAACGATTTACCTGTTCTCCATTCAAGTCACGGATAAAAAATGAGATCTGGGTGCCGTTGTACAAAGCGATCTTAGCATTGAGGTGATCCGGGTTAGACTAGGTCCCCCAGCAAGCTGTGCTGGTTGTGAGAGGCGACCCTGTGGGGAATCTGGGTTAGACTAGGTCCCCCAGCAAGCTGTGCTGGTTGTGAGAGGCGACCCTGTGGGGAATCTGGGTTAGACTAGGTCCCCCAGCAAGCTGTGCTGGTTGTGAGAGGCTGTGCTGGTTGTTAGAGGCGACCCTGTGGGGAATCTGGGTTAGACTAGGTCCCCCAGCAAGCTGTGCTGGTTGTGAGAGGCTGTGCTGGTTGTGAGAGGCGACCCTGTGGGGAATCTGGGTTAGACTAGGTCCCCCAGCAAGCTGTGCTGGTTGTTAGAGGCGACCCTGTGGGGAATCTGGGTTAGACTAGGTCCCCCAGCAAGCTGTGCTGGTTGTGAGAGGCGACCCTGTGGGGAATCCAGGTTAGACTAGGTCCCCCAGCAAGCTGTGCTGGTTGTGAGAGGCGACCCTGGTGCTCCCAGTTTTGTATTGAGATGGTACGCAACACATGTCAAGTATGAATAATATTGCTGCCTGTTTCAGTCATGAAGAATAGTGTAATTTGATCGGAGTCACTTTTTGCATTGATTTTTATGAACCCAGCTGTGAGTGCCCTGGTAATTTATCACAAAAGAATATATTTTCATGTGAACTTTGCACAACATACTGCTTTTTGCATTGGAGGAGGGTTCATATGCATATAAACGACACATTTTGATGTTCATATGTTTTTCATGAGACTATTCTGAAAATGAAAATGACTGAGACTAATTCCACATTTCTGGAGAAACCCCTGGGATTTCCTTTGAACAAATAAATACTGAAGCTTTGTTTTTTATCCATTATACATCTTAAGATTATACATCTTAAACCCAGCATTTTCGCATACATTGGAAATAGTCAGAGTGTTTGACTGCATGCTTGTGATCGAATGTCCTCACTGAGGACCTCATTGAGGCCCATGCTGGTGAACACAAAGAACTCAAACTATATCCACTTGATCTGTGCTCAGACTGAAAGGGACAGTCATCCACATTCTACAGATCTATGGATTTACTCCATAATCTATTCAACTCATCTTCACAATCACCTCTGACTCATCCGCCGGATGATCCATGATGACCAACAAATGAAATCCCCACTCCCCTACCAACCCACCCCCACTCCCGCTCCCCTACCCACCCACCCCCACTCCCCTACTCCCACTCCCCTAACCCTCTACCCTAACCCTCTACCCACCCCAACTGCCCTACCCCAATCAGGTTGTTTAATTCGTTGTCCTGTCCTCAAAGTAAATGCATTCTTGAGACTTTTTCTATCTCATTACCTTGACCTTTGACCTTGATATGTGTCAAAAGAATTCCCAAGGGTCATTTGGAAGAAGTCCATCGAAGAATACTCTCTAATGTCAAGGATTTGTGTGCAGTTCAAACAAGAAAAATCAGCAATGGCGACAGAAATCAAATTCCCACAAAACTTTCTTCATTTTGCAGGTTGCTAATGACATTCTGTATGAAAGATAGATGCATAAGATTCATTCAGAAACAACATGCAGTCGAACACTGTTGTGTCGAAGTTGAAGGGACCGATGTAAATACTTCGAGTTATCCGGTGATAAATAAATAAGGAATTAGCAGGGACCAAGCTTCGAGACAAGCGTAGGTTCGACACATCAAAGTCTGACACAACAACGTTTGACTGTATTCAACAAATGCCTAGAGTCCTTTTTCATTATTGTTGCTTCTTTTCTGTTTTCTTCTGACCGCCTAATGAGATTACTTCCGTGAACAAGAGAGTTCCGACAAACACACAGGAAGTCCCAAACCAGTCGTATAAAGTGAAGGGGTTCCTGAAGTATATGATGGAGAAGATGAGGCTGACAAACTTCCTCAACGTCACCACCAGTGTCACCGTCAACGACGTACACTCCGTCGTCAGCACAAACACAGATCTAATACATACATATCTGAACAGCATTAAGGAATTTTATATACTAGCGCCGGTCCAGCATGGTCATCTCTTTATGCTGGTGCATTTTATTATTTACTTTGTGAGAGTCCTTGTAATAGAACATGACCACATCCGGGGGTTTGTCAAAATTGGCAGTGAACATTCTGAAATAGAAGAATCCCACCTTGACTCACCTGGTACAAGTGTGTCTATATATATATATATATGGTTTACATAAAGACATTGTAATATAAACTCCTAATACTAAGTTTGATGAAAGTGAGTGAGTGAGTGAGTGAGTGAGTGAGTGAGTGAGTGAGTGAGTGAGTGAGTGAGTGAGTGAGTGAGTTGGGTTTAACGCTGCTTTTAACAGTATTCCAGTTATATCACGGAGTGTCAGCTTAATGTGGGAGGAAAGCCCGAAGTGATGCAGGTCTTAGACGTTTACCACTTCGGTGAAACCCACGAACACGGGTACGGTGCAGACAAACCTAGAAACATAATTGGGGCGAACCGGGATTTGAACCCAAAATCATGGGTTACTGGCGTGCCCAAGGGACGCAACTCTGCACAGGGAATCGCGGCGCCTTAGACGACTGGGCCACCCGTGCCCCCTCTAACACTTTGGCGAAGTCCTTGGTGGTTGGTCCGGACCATGGTCCTTGCCCTCCACCCCTGTACTGCTTGTTGTAAGTGGATGGGTGGTGGACTCAGTGTCTTGGTTGATTGTGTGTCATCATACCTGACAGTATGGGTAGTTGCTCATGTCAACCGCTGGTTTGTCTGGCCCCGACTGGCTGCTGTGACATAGCTGGAATGAAGTTGTGTAAAACAACATTCACTCACACCCTGACAGGCCAGATTTGACAATTCTGAACCCACGACAGCAATTTACCACACATTTGACTATTCAAGAACTCTTGAACATGGAAAGTCAACTAAATGTTGAAATTCTACTCAACCTATACTATACTGTACAACCATCTGACTACGGAGGGTAATAATTCGTCTCCCATGCATATGACATACAGCGGAATACATTAGATGAGTTGAGAAAGGTGAGTAGGTAAGTTGGGTTTAATACCGCTTTGAACAGTATTCTAGTTATATCACAGCGTGTCAGATTAATGTGGGAGAAAAGCCCTAAGTGATGCAGGTGTCAGACATTTATCACATGGTGAAACCCACAAGCAATGGTATGGTGCTGCCAAACCTACAAACATAATAGGTGAGGTGAAATTGGGTTTAACGTCGCGTCCAAGATTATTAGACTTATTTAGCGATGTGCATGTACGTGTGTGTGTTTGTGTGGCTGCTTGTACTAGTCCGGACTGATGCCGATTTATAGTGCTAGCCCACTGAGATACCATGCCCCAGTTTAACATGAATACCCCACTCAGACACAGTATACTGACTCCGAGCCGACCAATCCTTGTTTTCGCCCCTTAATGCCGAGCGCCAGAGAGGGTAACAACAAGTACCATCTTTTAAAGTCTTTTGGTATGACGCGGCCGGGTATCGAACCCCGGACCTTCCGCTCCCCGGGCGGACGCTCTACCATTAGACCACGGAGGCCGTCTACAAACATAATAAAGGATACTGCGTGAGTGTGTTGAAGAGCAAGTAAATCCACATCTTGGGGGCAGTTATGCCCAGGACTGGCATCACCATGGGAGCTGAAACACACAGGAATATTTCATTGTTTCTCCATGAAGACGTACTGTGTCCTTTCTACCAGCGCTAACAATAACTGTTTGCAGGTTATCCAAAGAGGGGGCAAGAGCATAATCATTATGTTAACATGTATTAACATAACAAAATCATTTGGTGACATTTTCAACAACAACAAAAAAACTCAAATAATTGACTGTGCAAATTGTTTCCTGAATTTTATTTCCATTCATTTTCGTAATTAAGTGAACCGTCCTTATCTCCAATAAGCTGCATCTGGACCACATCCAAGAGACTACTGTGCTTCTCACATGGAGTTAATATTGTGTGTACTGCATCAGCAGGTATGTTTGTCCCTCTGGGCTTATATCCAAGAGACTACCACACTTCTCACATGGAGTAAATATTGTGTGTACTGCATCAGCAGGTATGTTTGTCCCACTGGGCTTATATCCAAGAGACTACCACACTTCTCACCTGGAGTAAATATTATGTGTACTGCATCAGCAGGTATGTTTGTCCCACTGGGCTTATATCCAAGCGACTACCACACTTCTCACCTGGAGTAAATATTGTGTGTACTGCATCAGCAGGTATGTTTGTCCCACTGGGCTTATATCCAAGAGACTACCACACTTCTCACATGGAGTAAATATTGTGTGTTTCTGCATCAGCAGGTATGTTTGTCCCTCTGGGCTTATATCCAAGAGACTACCACACTTCTCACATGGAGTAAATATTGTGTGTTTCTGCATCAGCAGGTATGTTTGTCCCACTGGGCTTATATCCAAGAGACTACCACACTTCTCACCTGATTGATTGAAGATGTGGACATGGCTGTAGATATTGGATGCCAACAGCAGGAAGAACGGCATCGGCAGGGCATGCTGTAACACAAACAGTTGTACATGACACAGTCCCTATGTTTTCCGTGACCAAAAAAACAAATTCTGCGGTCAATTTGTGTAAATCTTGTGATAATTCTGCACACAATTCTGCAACTTTTAAGTTGAGTTCGACCTGTTTGACCTGTGACAGGCATTTTATTGATAAACTTATCCACGGCTAGACTAGCTTATTGAAGTGCATCTTGAGATCACTAGTGTAAACATACAGACATGCACTTTCGGTAAGAAATAATACAAACGTTAACTTTACTTCAAAACAAGATAAATATCCGTTTCCATGTCCAAAACCAGCTTTCGGCTCACATGCTAAAGTTCTGCAGTGTATTTGACAAATTCTGTGGAGGATGTTCTGCATAAAAAGTGATTTTCTGCAAGATAGGTACCTTTCTGCACCGAGTGGGCATTTCTGCAAAAAATTCTGCGAGCGAGGACCGTGGAGCACAGCAGGGACTGATGAGAGGCACATACACACAGACACTTTCCCAGGCTCACAACAATCCATCATCACATGACCTGAATCAACTCATACGATGATCTTCTGACATCAATAGATGTCTGCCAAGAACAGACACTAATGTGAACACCCAATCCATTTAGTCATCTCATATGACAAGCACATGTTGTAGAGGATCTACTGTAACCCAAACTCCCCAAAGGGCCCCTGTCACAGCAGCTTGACACACTAGCCGTACATGCACTTACAGAGTAAATGCAACATTCCTATTTTGATTTTCTCCATTTGGGCTGGGGTAACTCGGGTACTCAAGTCAGTTGCGTCCTGAGTAGAACCCGGGCACCCACAGGACTACCCGGACCCATGGTTTGTCACGCGATATATTGGTTAATGACAAAAAATTATCTTGAACTCCATGGTTACAATACAAGTCACTAATGTTCGGGGGTTTTTCTGACTATGCACCAAATCATCATGACCTTTACTGATTTGAATAAAGATAAAACTTCAGTCAACTTCAGTGTATGCATGACCAGACATTTTGTACCCAATTCTTGAGACCTATAGTGGGTAACCGGGAAGGGTGGTGTAATAGTGGGTTGGGTACGCGGGTAGTAAATTTGGACTATGCCCAGCCCTATTCTGCAGGACAGCCCTATTCTGCAGGACAGCCCTATTCTGCAGGACAGCCCTATTCTGCAGGACAATCAGTTGTTAACTGGAAACTCACATTGTAGAAGAGTGCTTCTGAGGGATGTTTTCCAAATTTGGTGTATGTCTGTTCCTGGAAAATTCCCATCCATGCAGACATAAACAGGGCGAAGGACAGCATACCTATACCTGCAAGAGATAAGATGCCAGACATGTTATACAAAGGTTCACAAATGGGAAACATCCTGAGTCAACAAATCTCACTAACATAAGCTATACATCTAGATATGTAGTCTGTAGGAACTCTTTGACATTTCAAATTGAGTGAGTGAGTATGGTTTTACGCCGCTTTTAGCAATATTCCAGCAATATCACGGCTGGGGACACCAGAAATGGGCTTCACACATTGTACCCATGTCGGGAATCAAACCCGGGTCTTCGCCGTGCCAAGCGAACACTTTAACAACTAGGCTACCCAACCGCCCCGACATTTCAAAGAAACACTTCAATGAATATGCTACACTTGTTACAACATTTTCTATTTAGCCATGACTAATTATGGTCGCGATCATTGCATTATTTCTGTATGTCTGATCCATATTAATTTTAAACTTCATAAATCAAGAAATTTAGAAAAGAGGCCTAAATTGGTTGTATTCTCCCCAGGGAGGTGACAATGAAAATTGAGTACACACTAAACATTGATTTGGGGAAATAATAAAGTAGTGCCATTAGAATTCATTGACTGGAATCATCATCATCATCATCATCATCATCATCATCATCATCTTCATCATCATCATCATCATCATCATCGTCATTATTCATTTTGGAAAGTGACCACTCAGATCATCATCATCATTATTATTATTATTCATTCTGGAAAGTGACCCCTCAAATGATGATCATCATCATCATCATTATTATTATTCATTTTGGAAAGTGACCACTCAGATCATCATCATTATTATTATCATTCATTCTGGAAAATGACCACTCAGAGCAGAACCTTCCACGTAGAGTTGCACATACCCACAAGCCACATGAGGTAGTCATGGGCAGCATCTCCTGTGTGACCTGGGTTGTCAGTCTGCAAAATATACACAGGTCTACGTACAGGCTGTATTTATAGCAGGATTAGTCAAACACAGCTCTGATATCATATGTACACATGGATGACAAACAACAAGTAGGCATGCAATTAAGAAAGGTAGGTTACAATGTGATGAATATTTTCATAACCCTTTGACGTTTAGAAATTACAATGGATTCGATCTAAAACAATCAGTACAATCAGGCACAAACATCCTGAACTATCATGTTATTAACAGTATATAGAGCAATGGTTCAGCAGATGATGTCACACAGCCTTACGATCCCAACCTAAGCGCTAAGGTTGGCACGCTGAGCTAAGGTTGCTTTGTGAAACTGTTGTAACAGCAGACTAAGGTCACATTAATTCTAACCTTAGTGGTTTAGGTTAACCTTAGCTACAGTTATTTTGTGGAATTAGGTGGTTGGGAGCACAAGCAGCACAGGGTCATGATAAGGGTGATTCCCCTTGAGGGGATTCAAACCATGGACCTTCTGATCCAAGGTCAAACGCCTTATCCACATGACCAAAAATGTCAACCCTATCAGTAGGCTGACAAGGTAAGAACAGAGTTAGAAACTAACAGTTTTGGTCCACTACTTATAAGGATAACATATAGCAAAACCCTTAAAAAGGGCAAATTTCTACTAGTCCTTATGATACCTCAACTATTGGGCAGTTTGGCAAGGGCTATAGGACTAGTGCCAAGTTCTAAGGTTGTAAGAATGTCATCTGTGGGATATCCTGCTAAACAACCACAGTCACCCATTGTGACCACACAAGCCATGTTTCAGGCAACTTTTACTAAATAAAGGAATACAACATGTTCATGATATGTTTTCATGATTTTTATACTGCAGTGATATCAAATCATCAATAGCAGTGAATAAGTGTTTGACCACCTACCGCTTGCTTGGCAGAGGACACTGTGCATACTGCTAAGCCGACAGTAATAAGAGCTACTGACACATACTTGCTCCATTTGTATCTGAAACACCAAACACAGTTCATAATAACAGCACAGTACTCACATATGTAACCACACTGATGTGATCATGTTTAGTTGGATTATTGTTTAATGCCGCACTCAGCAATATTCCAGCTGTATGATGGCAGTCTGTAAATAATCGAGTTTGGACCAGACAATCCAGCGATTGACATCATGAGCATCGATCCATGCAATTAGTATACGATGACATGTATCAACCAAGCCAGTGAGCCACCCGATCCAATTAGTCACCTCTTACGACAAGCATAGGCACCTTTTACGGCAAGCATGGGTTGCTGAAGACCTATTCTACCCCGGATCTTCACGGGTCACTGACATATGTAACCATGGTAACTACACTGATGTAATCATTGTAATGATGAAAGTGAGTATGTGCGTGCATGTATGTGTCTGTGTCTGTGTCTGTGCATGTGTGCATGCGAGCCCACTTAGACACCATGCTGCAGTTTGACATGGACACCCAACTCACAGTTTACCCACTCAAAGCCGAGCAGGCATTGTCTTATCCCCTTAATGCCGATCACCAGGCAGAGAAACAAGTCACTGTCATATCAGTGCCTATGAAAATTAACCCTTTTGCCTTTTTTCTCATAGATTTTCGCACATTATTTGTATGTATTAAGGCAGAAAATATATTTTTGTATTTTAGTTGCAAATTTGTAACAAATAAAAAAAGCGGTTGTCGGACATGTCTAAATGTTTGCTTACATGATGAAAATGACTTGACATTCAGTATTCAAAGACGATTGGCATACACTGTCAGAGAAGAAAACACTCAACATGATCAATACAACTCATACATGTAAATACTACAACCAAAATTCAATATTTTTGTTACCTTTTCTTCAATATAATTATTCCTAGAATCAAGTTGGCAACAAGGGATCCCTGAAAATAGAATCAGAATATGGTGACAATACATTGACGATACAGCATGACATTAAACCCTGCAAGCAAAACACATACATGTATGAATTAAAAATAGTGATTATAAACACCAATGGTGCTAACATATTCCAGACAAATGATATTACTTTCAGTGTTGGATTGTGAGTAATTGTGTATCATTAGTAACTCGTTAGTAAGTGATTACTGCAAGAGAATTACTCATTAAGTTGATAATTTTGTATTACATCTTCTTGGACAACAGTTGATAGTAGTAATGTCATCAGATCAATAGATTCAAGCTATTCGATCCATCAGTAAGAGATTACGGTATGGTCAAGGGGAGATAAGAACTGAGGTTAATAAAGAATTATCTCCCTTGGAAGATGTCAATTCAAATACAGTTACATTTTCAAATCGATGGCATGGACAGAGTTTCATACAGTGTTGGAAATTAAGGAGGCTATGGGTCCATGAGTTTTGCAGATGAAGTATTTGAATCTAGGGACCCCCTAAATTTGAAAATTTAATTTTAGAGTTATCATGGCAGGTAGGGCCCTGTCATAGCCACTGATTTGAGACAGCCTGTGTCTGAATGAACAAAAGTTAAATACCCTGTAACCATGATGTGTATATGTCTTTAATCACTTAATTGCCATTATTTATAAGATGATAATCCCAACTGTTTATCCCCATTATACTGCACATTGACTGTCTGCCATCCTGAACGAGCTGTGCAACTATGTCACTGATTAATTACTGCCCTTGGACATATAAGCCTTGGTCCAGAGATGAAAATGAGAAGAGAAGGTCTTACCCTTAGCCTAGCTAGGGTTAGGCTAGGTGCTCCAGGGCACCAACACTATCACTACTATCACTATGTGCTGACCTGGTACATAGTGCTTCTTGTATCTATGTATATATATATATATATCTGCCTGTATGAAGTAAACTTGTATATACCACAAGCCATGGATTCCATGTTGTCACTTCCTACGGAGAAGTACGATCCCTTGCATTTAGGAATATGCAAATATAATTAGCAACTTTATGTGCCTATAACACACGCAGCACACACATTGTTAACGCCATGACTTTCATGCTCAATTTCGTTCAAACACAAGTGTAAACATATCTTAGATATTAACCTACTGTTTAGGTGGTCTTGCTGGGGGAGACAGTGCCAGGAATTACACAATAGCTTCACTAGCCCCACATGGCTAAGAAAATTAGTTATTCAGTTTGTGTAAAGTTAAAAATTCAGTCTTGTCAATCTGCAATTATCAACATAGTTCTAAATATTAACCAGGGTGATCTACTAAATTGAATATACTGCCTTCTTATTGTCCATCTTAACTTTGGTGTATCAATTCAGTATTGACATAAAAAGTTTATTGATATATCGATATCGTGATAGTGATCAATATCTTACTTCACACCCAAGATTCATTCATTCGGACGATTTCATTGAACTCCATCCCCATGGTTCATTCATTCGGTCGATTTCATTGATCGCCATAAACATGATCGCCATTCAGATGATTTCTATACTGAAATTGGTCGGATTGGTATGAGCTGTGGTTTATCCAGGAAGCCACTTGATGGGATGGTTATATGAATATCTTAAGCCATAAATGAAAGTTTAAAAATATATCATGAAAGTTGAAACACACAAAACATATGGAGTAAGTGAGTGAATATGGTTTTACGCAGCTTTTAGCAAAATTCCAGCAACATCACAGTGGGTGACGCTAGAAATGGGCTTCACATATAGTACCCATGTGGAGAATCGAACCCGGGTCTTCGGCGTGACGAGCAAATGCATAAACCACTGAACCACCTCACCGCCCCCAAAACATATGGAAGAATATGAAATAACATTTAACTTGAGAACTAAAGCATTTTTTTTTAACATCTAATCCTTTAAAAGTGATGGTAGTTTAGACAACTACACACACAACCATTATTCCCATGTGTGTGGAATCAAGTAAAACATTATGGACTAGCTGAGAGGAACCCCAGGGAGGAATGTCCCTTTGATGGTATGATACAGTTTGTCTTATGTGAGATTACTGTCCTAGCCAACAATATTGACATTCTACATTCCAGTGTTCCACTAGTTCTTATATATTACTAGCCATGGGTGCTCTAGTGCGCTTTTGTTCAATTTCTAACACTGTCAGGTTTCGAACAGGGGATGGGCAACACAATGGCTAAGTAGGTATAAAAGGCAAACTTGGTATAAAATATGTAACAAAAATATGTCAAGAGACAGATTCAGCTAGTTGACTCAAAAGCTAGTTGACACAACAGTTTTTGGCACAGAATGATACTCTAAACTAATGTTGTTTGTAATTATTTCGCAAGCACACCAATCTACAGTGGAAATTGATAGATATCTGCCACTGAATATTCTCAGTAAGTACGTTGCCTGTATATACCGTGATACACAATGTGAAACTTTGAAAAATATTTATTGGAAGAAATATTAAAGCCTTTTAAAAAAACTCATAATCAACACTTTTTAATTTGTTTTGTGAAAAATATATGAACATATGAAATATTAGTGACAGACATTCTCAACCTTACTTGTTAGGGCATTCATAGCTTATTCTGAACTATCAGATCATTAAAATTCATGTAATAAAAAGAAATTTGATTCTAAATTTTGTTAAGAAACAAACAAAACACTGCTAAATGAGAGAAGAGGAGGATTCATGAGTTTTATACATGAGAGAATCGGGGGTAATACTCACCGCTCGGAATATCATGTGTAGAGGCATAGAAATATTGAAGTTGAAGGCTTGATTGTTTATGACTTGCACAACGAAAAACATAGCCACCATTAGCATATAGTACCTGGTAGAGAAGAATTAAATATAGCAGAGCATGCAATATTGACCACAATAATCAAAGTAAACACTATAAAATCTGAGAAATCTGAGGTACAGGAACCGAGAGAAGAATGGAGACTATATGGGATCTACATGTTCATGGCAGTCCACAAATTACTTTGTACAAACAATCATACAGTTTTGATTCAAGTCCATCTAAAAAACACTGGGTGGTAATTACCAATTTAAGTTGTGTTTATATGGTACCAGGGTATGAAACTCCCCAAAATTTCAGGCAGACCACAGGACTGGCTAGCTGAAATACTTGCCAGCCCTTACAAAAACCTGCCTGCCCACTATAATCATATGTTTCTCAGGATAAGCTAACGTGGTTTCTTTTTGGTTACATTTTATCCTTCATCTTTACATGTGAATTAATGCTTATCATCGGGAAATATTTAGAATATTTTCACATATGAAATATAACCCGACCGTCGGGCAGGGGGATTTGAAAATCTGGCAGCCCGAGTTGAAATCAACCCGTCTCGGACGGTCGGGCAGGCAGGTATTTCGAACACTGATGGTACTCATGGCCATGATATCTACATTAGTAACATTACTTATGACAAAATTACTGTGCATATGGAGTAGACATAGAAATAATATGTACGTATTCATGACACTGGGTCCCTGGTTTGTCCTTTGTGTTAAACCTTCTCGCTCTAACACTCTCAAACCCATAACGATTCTGCTTCAGCAGGTGACACTAATCATCCCTAACAGCCTGCACTGCACTGGCAGATTTCATCGCACTAAAAACTGATATCACTAGCTTAGTATTTCATATTCAGTAATAAATAGTGAGAAGGACAATTCATTAATTTTATCCTGTACGTACAAGAGCTGCAATAATTATACACAGAATAAATTGGATTCTGGATTCACATGGTAACATTGGATTTCCCAGAAATACTATTTGTTAATATATTATTGGAAAAAAATAATTATGTGCATAACCTATTGTATATGTACGTGATATAAAAACTAATAAATTTATGTGTGTGTTGGGCTTCTAAATTTACCATCTGAAGCAGAACAGCAAAGGGCATATTGGGAATAATAAACAAGGAATTTAGGAAGTGACTAAAAGAAAATAACCCATCCTCAAATACCATGAATCTATGTTCTCACTGCTCTGCTTATTGTGCTGAGTAATATGACCAATTCTAACCCATAATGCATTAAAGGTGAAGTGAGGTGAAATTAGGTTTAACATCGCGTCCAAGATCATTGCACTTATATAACGACGTGCATGCACGTGTGTGTGTGGCTCCTTGTACTAGTCTGGACTGATGCCGATTTATAGTGCCAGCACACTGAGATACCATGCCGCAGTTTAACATGAATACCCCACTCACACACAGTATACGGACTCCAAGCAGTCCTTTTTTTTCCCCTTAATGCCGAGCGCAGACAGGGTAATAACAAGTACCATCTTTTAACGTCTTTTGGTATGATGCGGCCGGGGATTGAACCCTGGACCTTCCTCTGTCCGGGCGAATGCTCTACCACAAGACCACGAGGCGGTCAATGCATTAATGGCCATGAAGATGTGAGTTCCAAGTTATTCATTTTTGTCTTTTCCAAAGGTCTGATTCAGGAGAAAAACATGTATTACCCTGCTCAAACATATGATCATTTTAAAAGGGAAAAACCAACTGAACAGTCTCTTAAAATCAGGCCCTCTTATCTATTTGAATAAAAAGTACTGAATGGCTTTAAAATGAAGGCATATTGGTAGCATAGTTTTCGTATTTAAACTGAATATTTTTATTATGCGAACGAAAAACAACACTATCGGATTTGACAGCGGTCCTTAGCGGAATACGTGCACAGCCACTATGGGAAATTCAGCCAAAAGGAGTGGACTACCTTTGGCTGTGTCCTTCAGAAGCCGATCGTTGTTAATGGTCAACACCTTTTCCGGAAAAACAGTGTGCAAGTAATGGCGCCAATAAACAAATAAGGGAGAAGTCAAAGTCTTGACCATAACATGCTATAAAGCATAAGATCCATGGCACTGAGCAACTAGTATTCATATGTATAATAACTTGTTATCTAAAGTTGGAGACTTTTCACATTAACTTCTTAATAAGAATTACATTCTCTGGAAACAAGCGTTGGTTAAAGCACTTCCCCATCTGTCTTCTCCACTACTGCCAGTCATGTTTCGCGCGCTGTGGCGACAGTAAGTGTTGTTGTAGTTGTTGTCTGCGAAATGCGGAATTTAACAGATATAACTGAATGTGTTAGGTTACTGATGCTGTCGGTTCCAATACTTGTGAGGTGATTCCAATGACAACCACTGTTACTACGATAGTTACTGCATTCATACCGCATCTGAAACCATTCCTTCACACTTGGTAGCTATACAAGCGTTATTGCTTACATTAACTCTGATAATGCTTCTTTTATTCAAATAGATAGGAAGGCCTGAAAATGTAAATTGCTGAGAAGAATCAAATTTCTGTTCATCCTAAATGTGATGAAATGCAATGATGACCATCCTAGAATGTTTTATAGAGGCTTACATACATACAAACACTGACGTCATCATCACTTGTGAGTGACAATGGACAAAGTTTGGTGCATTTTGCCTTTGCAGAAACATGGCATGATGTAGTTGAATAATATGCAATACCAATTATGCCACAAAAACCAGCGAGTGAGATTGGTTTAATGCTGCTTTGAACAGTATTCAAGTTAAAATCACAGCGTGTGCTGCCAGCTGGATGTGGATGGATGGGCAGAAGTGATGCAGGTCTCAGACATTTGTCACTTTGGTTAAACCCAAGAGCACTTGTATGGTGCTGACACATCTACTCACTTGCGGAGGGCAAGTCTGTTCCAACCAGCAACTAGCATTGTCACAATACGACTATCTCCTGATACCATGGGTTTACTTGTTTGTTGGTCTGTATATAATCGAGTCTGGACCAGACAATACAGTGATTGACATCATGAGCATCAGTCCATGCAATTGGGATACGATGACACGCATCAACCAAGTCAGTCGCCCCTTACGAAAAGCATGGTCGCCTTTTACCGCAAGCATGGGTTGCTGAAGACCTGTTCTACACTGAATCTTCATGGGTCAGTCCTGCTATTACATAATATGGCTATAAAAGTGTTCAATGTATATCTGGACTTACATTTGTAGTCCATTATACTACTTTTATCCACGATTTCATTCAACATTGTTTACATTAATTTTGGCGAAATCGTGTATGAATTGATCAGCAAATCACATTAATTGACTATGAACATGCCTAAACGAACAGTAGTTGTTCGAGATACAAAGTCTTCAGTCTTCCTATCACTGTATTGAAATTTCTTTTCAGTTATGATATTGGCCATGACACATGATGACATAAAGTATTTTTCAAACTAAACCACCCATAGATAGGGGAGAAAAAAATGTGAACAGCTGATTGCTATTTTACAAGACAAATACACAAGTAATCATAATCTCTGTGAATGAAACATTGTCCGGCATACAGTACACAAATCCCATTGACTACCAAATCATCATGCCTTAATTGTGATGTTTTACCGTAAATTTCATGTTTTCATTAACTCAAAATTGAAAACGGCAAAACAAGCACACAAACTCCTATTTGCCGCCATAACACAAGATGCCCAGTAAAGCAAGGCGCATTGTTTTTAAGTATTGTAGCATTTCACTGCCAGGGTCGTGTGTTTGAGATGTGGAATCATGAAGGTTTTTTTTAATGGAAATTAAAATTAAATATGCGTCAGACTTTATGATGATGTGGGCAGTGCCAGAGAACCAAGACTATTTTTGTTTTTAGCCTAAGGAACTCATTTATTCAAAAGAAAGAATTATCTAAGATTTGAGAATTACAGTTGTTCAAACATTAATAATGTCATTGTACACACATCAACACTCATAGATATACTGACTGATCCTGTAATATAAGTACCATGATTACCATCAAAGCTTAGCAGGTTCATACAATGACAAAAGAATATATAGTATTCTAAGTGCAACATCATTTGACCTGTATTGTATATATTAGTTATATCATTTCAGTGGACTGGTATAATTTCAAAATTATAATAAGGATTTTATGTCCACAGGGCCTTACAACTTGCATTGTTTGTGTACAATGAGTATATTGTAATCAACTTCTGTTTAGTTACATACATAACCTCAAGTATCTCATTTAAGATGTTTACAATGCTTGTGACAATACTCATGTACACCTCCATAGACGGTCACGTGAACCAGGATCTGAGGGACAAAATGAAGGCTGCATGTGTCCTTGAGTCCATCGGGTGCATGTGAGGCCCTTTCGCCTTAGGCACTGCAATTCACTGTGCAGAGTTGCATCCCTTGACCATGCCTGAAACCTATAATTGTAGGTACGAATCGTGGTTCGCCCCGATTCTGTTTCTAGGTTTATCAACTTTACTGTTAAAAGCGGAGTTAAACACAACTCACTCACTCATTCATTTCTTGAATATGTCAGGTTAAAAAACAATTGGGCTTCTTTTTTTATATACAATGATTCAGAAATCTGAATATAACAAAAAATACACAACACAAACATGTTTCTTCAATTTTGGTTGCTTAGAGGTGACTAGAGGTTTAACATTGCGATGGAGATTATTTCACTCATATCATGTATGTATGCATATGTGTGTGTGGCTGCTTGTACTTGTCTGGACTATGGCCAGATACGTAGTGCTAGCTCACAGCAATACCATGTTCAAATTACTGACTAACTCTGAGCCAACGACCATGGCGGTCAGAAACGACGGGGTGTACAAAATAGACACAATATAATGGAACCAGTTACAAGGATGGATTAACTTTGTTTTCCAGATACAGAAATAAGAAATACTTATCTGAGTGCTTTTCTCATTCGTACTATAAATTTAGAAGCATTAACCCTGATTGGCTGAGTTCTGTGGAGTTGACCTCAAATCTTCACACACAGAGTCATCCTATCGGAGTAAATGATCTGATTTTAACGAGATTGCATCACAAGAACACGGACACAACCATCATATCCAACCTTCCTTATGTATTGTTTGATAATTAGAGGGGGAGAGGGTGTGGAGGGAGGGTGTGGGGGGAGGAAGGGGATTCCTCAACGATAATATAAACATCTAGGAATCGTAGAATGTTAAGTGATAACCATGGTACTGGCAGAAAATAAAGACAACAAAGCACACTGATCTATACATGCGAAATGTGTGAACTGGGACTGCAAAGTGAAGCAAAGGACACACTGGAACCAATCTCAGCAGACACAAACAAACCTGATCTAAGGTGGGGGAGAAAACGATGCTGTTCCTGCCAACTTACACTTTTTAAAAGCACTACAATGGGTATAGGCACTTTGTAGATGAGAAGAATGTTGTGTAAAGCCACCGTCACCAAATATATGAAGGTCATAATCTTGTACTCTCTGCAGCATGAGGAGGGAACAAACAAATACTGTTATAGTTTGTATATTTGTTTATTTGTTTACCGACGCACTCAGTGATATTCCAGCTATATGACGGTGGTCTGTAAATAATCGAGTCTGGACCAGACAATCGTGAGCGATTGGGATACAATGACATGCATCAACCAAGTCACCGAGCCTGACCACCCAATCCCGGTAGTTGCCTCTTACGACAAGCATAGTCACCAATTACGGTAAGCATGGGTTGCTGAAGACCTTTTTTACCCCGGATCTTCACTGTTATAGAAAAGTAATGAGTTTACAATGCCACTTTGAACAGTATTTCAGTTATATTACAGCGTTTCAGCTTCATGTGGGAGGACAGCCATAAGTGCAGGTTGAAGAGCTTTTCCATTTAATTAGAGAAACCTGTGAGAATTAATATGGTGCTGACAAACCAAGGACAATAATCCTTTGATAATCAAGATGAATCTGGTATTCAAACCCTGAGCAGTGGATGCTTGTAGCCAAGGGACATAACTCTGCACAGACAGAAGCAGCACCTTATGCCTGTATTTCCCATCCATGCTCCAAGAGATTAAACTAAACATCGGTCAACTTGAACAAAAATATGGCCAAGATAAGCATGTGATTATTTTGATCTTGTCACTTTTGCAAAATTTAAGATAGGCAGCATCTGTTAGAGTAAATCATGAAACAAACATGATCTGACCCATTTGATCTCATTAAGAATCAAATCTCTCACTCCGTTTATGCCTCTCTGCATGAAGATCTGAGCATGAGCTCAGAGTAACTGTGACCACCTGGGTTGCATGGGGTCTTGAGTCAATCAGATGTCAGCCTCCTAAAATGATTCGCTTTCACTTCTTTACCACAATGATTTGGATACTTTGAAACCAGAAAAATTATTATATGGTGTTCAGAAACAATTGGGCTTATAAAATATCCACAACATATATCATGCAGCTTTTCTTATTTTCCATTTGGAACGACCCATTTATGTTCATTTTCAAGATATGCTGCTCTGAAAGTTTCAATCGCTTGTAACAAAGAATAAAAAGACCTAATTGTTTTCTCTTTTTTTTGTGCCGTTTGTTTAACGCCTCGCTCAGCAATATTCTAGCTATATGACAGCGGTCAATTTGGACCAGACAATCTAGTGATTTACAACATGACCATTCATGTACGCAATTGGGATACAATGACATGCATCAATCCAGTCATCGAGTCTGACCACTCAATGACACTGTCACCTCTGACAAGCATGGGTTGCTGAAGACCAATTCTAACCTGGATCTTCATGTGGGTAGTAAACTCAACTCTGACCGATCAGACAGTTCACTTGACCTCCTACTAAGGGTTTATAACGTCTTCATGCAGAGAGGAATCACACTGGTGTAAGAGATCTGATTTAAATGAGATTGGATCGGACCTTAATTAAATGATACTAGCTTGTATTCATTTAAAATGTTTAACATATTCACAATGTCTAATTGCTCTACCTGGTGTTGGTCAGACATAAGTTTATTAATTCTTGGTTTACAGCCTTTTATGGAAAAAATCCTATAACTTTGATGGGAAAAATAAATAAATCCCAATTCATGGCTTTTTTTTGTTCTTAAAAATATCATCTGGGTACAACTTGAGAAGTGTTAGTAAAGGTTGTCTTGTCAGTCTTACAGTTTATCATGTTTATTCACATAACATATTGTGTACACATTTTGTGGACTTAACATGTAGGTTTGATTTCCATCTAATGAAAAAAGTGCCTTTCAAATCATGGTTTTCTACTTCTTAATAGACTAGGTTGAATGAAATATGTTAACCAATCACAAAAAAGGTCTAAACATGATAAAAGCTAACATATGGTTTGAACATGTTAAAAAAGATAGCAGTTTCTGAACCTGAAATGATAATTTACCAGTATGACTTTGCAAATCCATATCCAGGTTATGTCAACATGATAGCAAAACCCCCACAACCAGAAGTTGAGCAGCTAACCTTTCTCAATCTCAATACATATAGCACACCATTAAAGGTTTAGCACTAAGCATTTGCTGAGAAATCAAATGGTATAATTAGGCCAGACGTTTTTGGGGGGTACTGATTTTAATAATTAAATATTTCATCTGAAGGTAAAATTGATATAAGGAATACTGTTTTCAACTTTTTCAGAAGGTAAAAATTAAATAAAATTATGCAGAGTGGAGGATGGGTCCTTCAATATATTATTATTATTTTGTTCTAAGATAAGATAAGATAAGACTTTATTATCCCAAGGGAAATTCATATTGCACAGTTGATTAGTACTAAAATACGAAAAAAGGAAAATATATTATATTAAAATATGTAAAAAAGAAAATAAGACACTTACTAATATAACAATGAGTAAAAACATGTAGAAAATTGAACACTATCACAGTGACAACAAGGAATGATATTTTAAAGTTTATGTATTTATATCACAGCAATAGTAAACTTTAATAAAAGGGATAATGACTGGATAAGATTTGTGTACAGCGAACTGCAATCTCATTAAAATTAGATCTTAGTTTTCGCTCGGCTAAACAAAGATCTGAGGACATCCCATTACGGGTCACGTCAGAACGATTCTTTGACCGATCAATGAAATGACTGACAGAAAATCGACATTAGCCAATCAGAAGGCAGCTTTCTCGAGCTCTACGACACAAGTTTCAAACTGGCGACTACGCTTCGAAACATATTTTGACGTATTCTCGATTAAAACATTTCAAACTGATAAAAAGAACATTCTGGAATGGCTTACAGATCGCCTAGATTGTATGGATATTATCATAAAACCCGTAACTGTCATTCGGAATACCCTCTATAAAATATTTCAAGGTTGCATGATTAGAAAACACATTCAGTCTGCCACTTTCATGATCTGGTAAGAGACACTCTGATTGGTTGGATGAAAGGTCGTTGACGTGACCCGTAATGGGATGTCCTCAGAACTTTGTTTAGCGCTAGCGAGAACTAAGATCTGATTTTAATGTGATTGAGTGAACTGTTAAAAAGTATGAAACAGGTAATCATTTAAAAGACTAATACTGGCTGGTATGAATGATTTCCGGGCTTTCAACCATGCGTGTCACCACCGCACAGCGCCACCTGGTCCTGACAATTGATTTTTGGAAAAATTTACATCTTAGTCACATAAAAATCTCCTGAATAATTTGTACTGTCAAAGCGATCTTTACCATCGGTGACCTTCAAAAAAGTTAGGGGGTTTTCAGAATTTTCAATTACCGTATTCGACGAAATAAGCGCCCCGCTCTACTAAGCGCCCACAGCAAGATTTGCTGATATATTGGCTAGTGAAAAATCCCAATTAGCACCCCTTCCGACCCCTATTCGCATAAAATATGCACTTGTGTGTTATATGCACCCTTTATTATTGGCAATTAAATTCTGGAAAAATATATCTGTCGTACATAAACATTTCAGGCTGTCAGCATAAACCACAAAATTTATCTTTCAACTGTTTTTCACCAAAATAATATTCTAATAAGAGGCCCCTATTTCTAGTTTTGATTACGCCCTGGGCGCTTATTACGTCGAATACGGTAATAAGGTTGACGAATCCTAAAACCATGAAAAAGAAAATACAAAACTTTACATTATCATTATCATGTACATATGAGGTGAGGAACATTATTGTCTAACAAGTGTTTGTAACAAAGTGGAAAGAGAACATACCTGAGGGGGATCACAGAGGCTTTCGTTCCAAATTTAGTTGTGAAAATAAACCCTTCAATACTGATGAAGAAAAACTGGCAGAATGTGATGATGTTGGCAGCACTGGGGATTTCACTGAAAGAGATATATCATTATGTCAGTAAATCTTTTTTAATCTGTACTAAAAGTATAGTTCTTACAACATGCACAATGTCAAGGAGTGTTGGGTTTTAACGATGCTATGAACATTATTCCAGCTATATCATGGTGTGTCTGCTCAAAGTGGGAGGAAAGCCCCAAGTGATGCAGGTGTCACCGGGTGTAGTGCTACCCAAACTGGAAACATAATCAGGGTAAACCTGGAGTTGAACCTACAATCATTGGTTTATAGCATGCCCAAGGGACACAACTCTGCACACGAACTTGTGGATAAACAAGATTAAGCTAAGCATCAACTTCTTCTTAACTGGGCTGGTAAAAAATACTGATAATCGGAATTATCGATGATGGGAAGAAATATTAACGATTATCGATATGAAAATTGTGTCATTGATAATATCTCACATGAACTATTGTGATGAAATAAATTATAGATTTACCAGTGGAGTGAAATACATTGTATGTTGATTTCTTTCGGAATTTCTTTTTGCATATATGCTCAAATACTTCTCCGATATTTATCAATAATTGATTGATTGTAGTTAGTTAGAGATTTATTATCTGTATTGATAGCCAGCCCTACTTCCTAAGTTAGTTCTTCTCCCATGTACACAATTACCATGAAGAGGTGAGGTGAAATGGGGTTTAATGTTGTGTTCAAGTCATTAAACATGTATAGTGACATGCATGTGTGCATGGCTGCTTGTACTAGACCTTGTACGCCATGCAGGGTTTACAACAAGTACCATCTTTTAATGCCTTTTGATATGACCTGGCCAGGGAACAAACCGAAGACCTGCCCTCCAGGCAAACGCTCTATCCACTAGACTACAGAGGTGCCCCCTCCGAATAGTATCAAAATGCAACAGGTGATACTGGAAGCAGTCTTTTCGGTGACACCCTCTGCGGCTTAGATGCTTGAAGATAAATGTCATGCAGCTGACGTTTCCTGCAAATCTGGTTTACTTTGACTTCAGTATTATCATTGCTCAGTGAGATACAGTGATACATGTAAGTGCCCTTACGACGATCGGGATGTGTAACAGATCGTGAGCAAGGTATCGTGATACGTATCAAATCACACAGTTTCTGTAGCATCCCAGCCCCAGCAGAAGGTATCCAGTACGTTGGATTCTAGCACAGGGTTAACATGGTCAAGTCTTATTGGTTGATAGGGACCAAAGAGATTTTAATGTCATGAAATTTGGGCAAGTTAAATAAATTTGTGAGCATGGGACACTATTTAAAAAATTTAACCTCTGCAGTGAACGGAATGATAACCATGACAACCACAAGTACTAAAGTCTGCCTCTTGACACCCTGACATTGTGACAGTAATTATACACTCTCGTGCAATATGATAGGTATTACCGGAGTAAAGTTTCAACAAGATACATGTCATGAACATTCAACACTTGTTCACTGATCAAAAGGAATGGCTACAGACCCACCAAACCACAGCTGTGTCAGAGCATTGCTGTCAGAAACAGGTATTTTACAAAATTATTTACCTGATTCATGATTCATGCATTGTTTTCTGTGCATGACCTCATGGCACAAAGTATCATAACATTAGGGAATTACTGAGCAGTCCTGTTGTAGCAACTGCAATATTCCCTTCTGTTCAAAAGTTCAGTCCATTTTAAGATTCTCAGGTAATTGAAATGAATATGAAAGGACAAGGGGAACCTTTGGGCTGAATTATCTGCCCTTGGATTGAAACTGACCTGACGCCTGTACTAGCTGTTGACCCAGTATGGATCTCATCAAAATTATTGGTGTGAGAAAATGGTCACATGACTGTTATGACCAATCAAATTATGAGAAATTACGTCCTGATTCCTTTGACAGATCTACTTTCACAACATAAAATCACTGAAATTAAGGGGAAGGTGAACCATCTCAGGAGGTAATTTGGTATCAAAATGAGTATTAATACCAATCAGTTATGTCTATTTGATTCGCTAATTGCCTTCCAATATCACAAGATAAACGATTACATCCTACAATGTCCTCCAAGCTATGTCCTTGCTGACGGCCGAAAGGACGTAATAACAAGCAACATTGACTGGGAATTAAGATGGACAATTCAAAGGGGAAGATTACAAATGTCAGGAGGCAGTTGGAATTTATCTGATAAATAAGACGTTTAATAACATGAATTGGCCACTGATATGCTTTGACAGTAACACTGGATGTCATATTTATGAAAAACATGTTCATAAATAGTAATGCTAAATGTAGCGCATGAATACATCAGCGAAGATTACATAGTTCCTGATGTCAGAATTAACAGCAACTATAATACACGTCTTGACACAGCATATCAGTAACTTCATTACGCCCTAAGCTGGCTGTCACATATTGACCAGTATCTATTTTCTGGGAACATCAACCCGTCAACATGGCCGATGTGTAATGTGATTTGCCAATTTCCAGTCTAAATGGAAACAGCTGACAACTGTGAGAACAAACATGTTAACACATAAAATATAAAGTATTGACTGATATCTTCTAACACATGCATAAATGTTCTTTGTGACATGCACATTTCTTTGCCCTGTTTGCTCAGGGTGTCATCTGGAAGTACGATTGCTCATGTTTGGAAGGGAGATAACTACTGATCATGCTTAGGGTCAATATTCAGGTTTATTCTTCAGCTGTATTAATCTTTAAAAAATACAACTTCCACTTCACAAGAAAAAATATAATTCAGTTCTACCATTATGCTGAAGAATGCTTGATTCTGATTAAAATATAGTCTCCAATTTTCCTGACTGATACCTCTAAACTAAGCCTGTTAGTTTTCAGACAAAAGACATGCGTATGAATACATTGATAGCCTACATATTGATCCATAATTGATGTAAAGGGCTCGCTTCCAAATAAAAAGAAAGAAGGTGTCGATTCTACCATGTCTACAGTAAGACAACCTCAATTTTCAAAACCCAGTAGATTTATCTCTTTATAGTTTATGGGCTAAGATAATGCTTAAATATGTATCCTTGTTAGGGTTACATTGGCACTGTCACCATGTAAAGAGACTGGGTTGGGGGCATGATGATTAAATATAATATGGCAAGTTGTAGCTTGATATACTGTTAAAATGTATTGTAACCTTTTGTAGGCTCATAAATCATAATGCAAACTTTACAAATTTATCTTGCATATATCTAATTAAAAAGGCCAAATGAAAGCATGTTGGAAACATCATCAAATTAGAATATCTCTAAATATACTACACTTGGAATAGCTTGATAGCAATTTCAAAACTCCAGACCCTCCGCTTTCCGGGTAGACACTCTACCTCAAGGCCACAGAGGCAGTCTGCTACTGACAGTTACTGTACTGACAAGGAACAATTATCATGATTATCATGATTATGTCAACTTATATTACTTCTGCCTATTCTCATTAGGAGAGGAAAATATTTTAAAAAATTACGAGCAAAACTGCTTCTAGTTTGGAAATATTAAAAATACAAAAGATAAGCAGGGCCTTGCCCAAAAGGACAGGTGGCCTGGCGGTGGTGTCATGTATGACACATGACCTGTAAGACAATGGTGAAATCATAACGAGAAGATTATACGGGTGCCATTTTTTTTGCCAAACGCTGTCATCATATCATTATTGGAGTAAATAACAGGGGTAAAGAATCCCCTTCATAAAAACGATAAGATTAAAACTGTTCATGTTCCAACTTTTTTGCTTCTGTGAAACGAATCACTGCCAAATGCTGAAGCTATTGTCATTAGCTGCCAGAAGAAATAACTACAAACTTATATATAGTAAGTTGGTGCTCCAATATTTGGTTCTCATTTGTCACACATGAAATAGACTCCAAGTTTTTAAACCATACGTTTTACCCTCGTTTCAATTTTAATGTTTTTGCCTACAGAACGCATGATAACGGATTTGTGCATGTTCGATATATATATACAGGAAGCTGACAAAGGCAGCCACATTGTACGGAAAGCGTCAAAGCGGGATCCAAATACTGCAGTTGACCCTTGATCTACCCGATCACTCTCCTACCCAGAGTTCCATGCGGCCGGCAGCCAGCTAGCATAGTACCTCTGCCACAGGCCAGCGCCATGTGATGATTCGTCACATCTTTCACAGTCCATTCAAGATATTGCATATGCTTTTCATCCGTTTCATGTTTGACAAGTCTACACATTTTCATAAACAAATGTCAAAGAATGGTTAACTTTCATTGAGAAAGTATGCAAATACGTAAAAATCTACTTGTTTTTGCGTAGTTATCCTATGTTTACATTGGTTGTACGGCTCCACGTGCTGTCATCGAAGCCCAATGGAGAGCTAGCGACACGCTCACTTTGATGCATAAATATATATTGTCATGCAACTCACTGTCGCAGTTGTAGTAGCATATCTATATAGTTATGCAAAACAATATGTAAAGCGCCCCCAAATACTTGCATTAGTCTGTTCTACACTGATTTCTGAAAAAGCGCGTTTGTTTACAAACAAGAGAAAAGTCCGGTCACGTGATATGCAAATTAGCCTGTGGCAGTGGTGTTATGCTGAGTCACAACTGCGACGGAGTGTGCTACCCGTTCAGTGAGCTGTAGGCCTAATCAAGCAATTTCATTTCGGTTTCAGGCTAGATACCATAGAATTATGAATGAATCCTTCAATGTCAAAAACAGTATTAAAATTATTCGAATGCATGGAGTGTAGTGTCACTGGTCGCTTCATTCAACTTACCTGACAATAAGTTCCAGGAACACGACATTACTACAGCAGCCGACAAACACCATACACATTGCGAGAAGAGCACGCATTTTGATTTTGGACGGATATTGTATTCACGAAAAACAGACCCAAATAGACAGAATGGTTTAAATTAGGGCTATCTCGCTATCGTATCCATGAATTTTTCCAAATGACTAGTTATGAAAACAAGGACAGAATATTGATAACGCAGGCGCTGACGACCTTTCCTCGACCGGCACGTCAACAGATTCCTACTTCCGGTATTAGCACCGCTCACACCTCACAGATACAGTCACCACATAGAAAGCGAGAAATATATGGTATATCATTTACACTTATGATCATCAAGAGACATATGTCACAGGATAGGTCGTTTAAAGCTTCCTATTCACAAACGATAGATATCTGTGATTGTGTAAGATCCTAAGCGACAGGACGTAATATGGCTGTCCAGCTGACAAGAAAAAGTTGAGGTGAGTTGCAACAAAGAAACACAATATGTTTGTTTTTGGTCGAGATCCAACTTACATCAGTGTCATATAAGCTACCTGGCCTATTAAGGAAACATGTAAAATATTTTCCTTCTGACGCGGTAGTCATATTTTCCTTCATGCCGATGAATGTTGAAAACGCCTGTCAGTTTCAGAAGTGGACAAGTTTCGGTATTTTCACGCCGATTGATACCGGCATGTCTGTTGTGAATTACAAATATAACTGTTGTTGCACTATGGCCACAGGTACTTCTCATTGAAATGAAGAACCGTGTATAATGTGGTTAATTTTTATCTTTTGCTTTGAGTAATGCCTGTGTAAGTGTTTGGGAAATATGATGAACTAGGCTGGAGCCATAGGCAATTTATGACAGCCAGACAGGAATCCGTATACCGTAATGACATGAGCATATCTTGCATAGAAAATAGTTTCTTAGCTGATCAAGTCTAGACATCCTAGAATGTTTAATTTCAAATATATGTAATATATAACCATTATTAGAGATATGAAATTTGGGGATCACCATGCCCATTTCCACAAAGTGATCTCAGTGCTTGGTTGATCATAACTCCCAAGCTTTACATAGGCTTATGATAGTCTTGGTGCTAAGATTGCTTTGTGAAGTGTAGTCCTGGCTAAGATAGCATGAAATTGCTCCAACATAGACAACATTATCAGATTCTAATATTATGTTAGCAACATTGGACATTCTCCAAGTCTGTCATAATGTTATATTCAAAACATGTATATCATATTATTCAACATACGAGAAAACATTCTACACTCCTAAAACATGTGAAACAACAATATGCAATATGCATTATTCATAAAAATCAAGGGTCCTTGCTATGAGCTTTATATTAAAAAAGATTGTAGCAACTCTCAAGGACCCCAAAACACTGAAATGATTGATATAATAAAATCTGAACTGAATATATATTTTCATCACTGATCATGCTGATTTGTCTGCTAGCAGGTGCTGAGATGATGTGAAGTGGGGTTTAACATTTTGTTTAAGATTATTGCAGTTATATAGCAATATACATGCATGCATGTGTGTGTGGTTGTTTGGTGGCTGCTTGTTCTAGTCTGGACTAATACTTTTATAGTGCTAGCCCACTGCGAAACTCAACGCCAGGCAAGGTAACAACAAATATCATCTTTTAACATCTTTTGGAATGACATGGCTAGCGTAAAGATCAACAAACCTTCTAATCTTGGCAGATGTTCTATCCACTAGGCCAGGGAGGCATTATCTGACCCCCACAGTTCACATTCTTTCAGTTAGCTGTAATTTCATAAATGGATCACCAAACATTACCACGGATGTTTAATAAGAGTGGAATTATTTGGTTGGTTGGTTTTTTGACACTGCACTCTGCATAATTCCAGATATATAACGGTCTGAAAATAATCAAGTCTGGACCAGGCAATCCAGTGATTGATATCAGCGCATTGCTTTATGCAATTCGGATATACCATATTCGACGTCATAAGCGCCCGGGGCGCTCTCAAAATTAAAAATAGGGGGTTCTTATTAGAATTTAATTTTGGTGTTGAAAGATTGTAAATTTTGTAGTTTATCATGCTGACAGCCCGAAATGATACAGAAGAAAAGTATGTGCGTATCATACATGACAGATATATTTTCCATAATTTGATTGCCCATAATTAAGGGTGCTTATAACACACAAATGCGTATTATCATGATTATACATGAATAAATAACTTTTATTTAATAAGTCTTGTGTACATTGATCAATTGGAAGGGGTGCTTATTGGGATTATTCACTAGCCAATATATTAGCAAATATCGCTGTGGGCGCTTATTAAAGCGGGGCGCTTATTACGTCGAATACGGTAAGACAGCATGCCTCTAAGTCTTACAACCAGACTAGGTTGCTGCAGACTACTTCTAGTATTATATGAAGGTGAAATAACACAAAGGTATTCATGTTAGTAAATTGACATCAGTCAGCATAGTCAGTTAGATGAAGTATATTATCATGATTATATCACTTTTAGGGCTGGGACGAGACCAAATGTATGTCCCGGGTGCCTGATCCCCTATTACCAAACCCTACCCAGATAACCGCTGTAAGTCTCAAGTTGGCTACAAAATGTACAATTAAGGATTGTCTTACAGGAGCCCTGACAAAAACTACTGAGACCCACATATAAAATGATCTGATCATGCATACATTTAAGTTGACTGAAGCTTTATCTTTACTCAAACATATTAAAGTCAGAAGGAATCTGTGCATAGTCAGAAAGAAATGAGAACATTTAGTGACTTGTAGTGTAACCATGGAGTTTGATTGTTATTGTCATTAAAAAATTATCAATCGACGAACCACGGGTCTAGGTAGTCTTGTGGGTACCCGGGTCCTACTCAGGACCCACTCGACCCCAGTACCCGAGTTACCTGTCCCAGCTCTAATCACCTTGATATTCTGATTCATTGATGTAGTTTCATTGGTTTTTGTTACCTCATTCCTTTTAATAGGCCTTAAATAATGTGATTGTAATATTGTAATATGCCGACATTATCCAGTGTGGCCAAGAATGACATGATTCAAAATCATGGTGATCAGCACTTAGTAGGCGATGCTCAATATTGTTCAACGTTGTTTTTCTGGGAAAAACATAACTTTATTTAGTGAACATGATAAAGACCCAAAAGGATGAAATGAAACTGAATGAAAATGTATGGTATTTTCCTGCTCTGCCAGTCTCAATGCCCGTTACATCATGGCAGTTTGAAGTGACAGTCAGCAGATCTGGACAAACCAGTGGTTGAGTAGTGTGAACATCAAACCTTGCATTTGGGATGCAATTTCACACCAGTGCGTCTTGTTCTTCCTAATTCTTCTGTTGCATCATCAGTCTTTGACTTTAACCACTAGTCTGAAGCCTGAGTCTAGTAAAATACTCTTTGGTCTAGTATGCTCAGGTAAAGTAGTCCATACGATAGCATTAAACTATGGGTAAATGACGCTTAGAGAAATATTGAGACTGGTAGACTCAAAAGTATTTGACACAGACAAATACCAATTCTGTGTGCCACGATATCTTCCTGTCCATGATATTCAGGCTCAAGATAATGAAATGCATACTAGAACGATTAGTGTTTGAAAATATATGGCCAGTGTTCATTCTAGCAAGTGTAATTCAGTTATGAAGCCAGAAATATCACCTACATGCCGCATGTGTTTCCAATTCACGAGAGTCTCCTATTACAGTATATACATTAAGTACAAGTTTTGCATAAATATTTGTCAGTGTGCTCCACAAGCAGATATATTAAAATCCGATCGAAATGCAGATGGCATTACGAAGAAAGCTCCATACCATTGCATGACACCTTCATCACCTATCTTTAAGCTCAGGGACAATTTGATGCTGTAAAGAGCTTTAAACTAACGTCAGTTCCATAATTTCCGTCAGAGCACTGATCATGCTGGTGATGCTAATCACACTGTCTAGACTATGACTGGACAAAGTCATCCAGCTTATCATTCTCAATATCTGCTTTGGCTGGGTCTTAAGTCATTCACTTTGATTGAGCAGCTCCGTTACGTCACATTCAGCATGCGTAGGCGACCAAGTCTTCAACATGTTCAAAGGGGCTGCATTACTTTATGCAGAGTTGTGTCCCTTAGCCATGCCAGTATCCACTGGTCCTTGGTTTGAATACGAAGAGCCCTGATTATGTTCTTCAGCTTGTCATAATATCCTTGTTCATGGATTTCGCCAAAGCGGTAAACATCTTCAACCTGTGTCACTTACAATATAATATATATAAAATAAAGATCAAATTGCTCAGTATCATAGACAGTAATACAGCATATGGCTTCTCTTGCTTTTTAAATCTATATTTACACAACTAAATAAATACTATAATGCAAGGTTTTTTAATTAGCAATGTGCCTTTAGTTCATACATATTAGAAATTAATAGAATCTTTTTGGTAAGAAAGAGGGGACACGGGTGGCCCGGTCTTCTCAGTTGCGTCCCTTGGCCACACCAGAAACCTATGATTGTGGGTTCAAATCCCGGTTCGCCCTGATTATGTTTCTAGATTTGTCAGCACCATACCCGTGCTCATGGGTTTCCCTGAAAGGGTAAACGTCTGAGACCTGCATCACTGCGGGCTTTCCTCCCACATTAAGCTGACATGCCCTGATATAACTGGAATACTGTTAAAAGCAGCGTTAAAACAAACTCACTCACTCACTCACACTTTTAGTAAGCAAGGTAATCATCGATAAAATCCTGAAACTGTTGCATAAATGCTGTAATCACTGCAATTTCTTAAATATTTTGTACTATCAAAATATTACAAAGGAACTAAATCTTTGTTATATGTTAAGAATCTCGTATTAACTAATAAAGTATTTACAATGTAGCCATCATTTGTTTGGGATCAGTCCACTCAGATCATGGCTACCCAGGTGCACGTAACATGTTCTACATCCCACCCCTACTGTCGCAATGTCAGTCTAGTCTAAAGCCCTTGTTTAATACTAACGGACAATCATAGTTTTTTGCTGCTTTGGTTCTGTTTCAGTTCGTCACTGACACTATGTCCCAACCTTATTCCATTATTTAAATAGCTGTTTGTTTGTTATTTAACTCTGCACCCATCTATGTTCCAACTTTATGACAGAGGTCTATGTCATATCATGAGCATCTACCCACACAATTGGGATACAATGACATGCAATTAACCAACTCACCTGGCCTGACCAGTCAATC